GGTGTCCGAAAAGATTCTTTTGAAGCTGATGTCAAAGAGTGTGCTGCCGATATTTTCTTCTAGAAGACTTATTGTTTCAGGCCTAATCTTTAGGTCTTTGATGTGAAGCACTCTTTTTAAGGAGGGGTTTTCTGGTGCAGTTAGGACATACTGTGCTTTCCTGATGGTTTCGGGTAAGTCCCAGTACATGGCATTCCTTCGGCAGGCACAGGGGACAGAGGGCAGCCGTTGCTATATTATCTCCAGCAGCTTATGAGAAAAAGGAGCTGATTTGGACATTCAATTATTCATCCTTTTACTGAGTACTTACTCGTGCCAGGACTATGTTAGGTTTTATGAGGAATGAAAGATAAATAAAATTAATGATGTGTAAAGGTACTCAAAAGAATATTTACAATGAGATCCCACAGAGAGAGAGAGAGAAGGAGTAAGCAGGCTTTGAATAGCCACCAACATGTCAACCATCGTCATTTCTAAGCGGGGGAATTAAGGGCCACTTCCTCCTACCTCTTTTTTTGTTTGGTTAATCTTAAATTTCTACATTCTGTGTAACAAACATGCATTGCTTTTGGAATAAGAAAAAAGTTAACTTTTAAAATTGTTTTATTGAGGTCATAATGGTTTATAACATTGTGAAATTTCAGGTGTTCATTATTATTTATCAGTATTCTGTATAGACTGCATTGTGCTTACCACCAATAGTCTAATTTTTATCCATCACCATATATATGTGCCCCTTTACCCTTTTCATCCCCACCCCCACTCCCTTCCCCTCTGGAAGCTACTAATCTGTTCTCTTTATCCATGTGTTTTTTTGTTTTTTTGAGGAAGATATGCCCTGAGCTAACATCTGCTGCCAATTCTTCTCTTTTTTGCTGAGGAAGACTGGTCCTGAGCTAACATCCATGCCCATCTTCCTCTACTTTATATGTGGGATGCCTACCACAGCATGGCTTGCCAAGCAATGCCATGTCCGCACCCGGGATCCTAACCAGTGAACCCCAGGCTGCCAGAGAGCAATGTGCGCACTTAACCGCTGTGCCACCGGGCCGACCCCCATCCATGTTTTTGTCTCTCACATGAGTGAAATCATGCAGTGTTTGTCTTTCTCTGTCTGGCTTATTTTGCTTATCACAATACCCTCAAGGTCCATCCATGTTGCTGCAAATGGGATGATTTGTCTAAAAAAAGTTATTTTTAATTTAAAAAATTGACAAAGACGTGCTGTGTGGGTTCTTCAGAGATCCAAGTGAGCTGTGTTCAGCTGTACTTGAGCCTGAGGTCAAAGTGTCCTTGCTGGTCTCCAGTCTTCCCCAAAGCTGTGGCTCCCAGGGAGCTCTGGCTAGGTGAGGGCACAGAGGAGGAGGGATTGTCCCTGCGTTCATGTGGCCCGATTTTACCCCGCCTGCCTCCTCTAGGCCACAAGTGCTTTGCACTAATTCTCATGCTCAAATACTCTCTTGCTTGTTACACCTGCCCAGGCTAAATGAGGGAAAAGCTGCTGTCATGGGCACAGCATGGAACAACAGAGACACACTCATCGGTTACCTAAGGAAGAGAGAAGTGAGAGAGTCAAAAATATTTTAAAAATCTTTTTCTAACTTAGAAAGTGTGAAAGGTGTTTTCTAGGGGGGGAGGTCAGCTATGTTACATCTTCTAAAAGTATTTCCGTTTAATGGGGCAATTGTCCATTGTTCACAGGAGAAACAATTCAAAGTACTTGAAACAATGGGAAACTTTCAAGCATAGTTTATCTTGTTCTTTAACTTTGACATTATAGTGTTATTAGAAACATTGTGTACATAGTGAAAGTCTTTAAATTTCCAAAAAAAAAAAAAAATCAACACTAGTGTATATTTTCCTGTCCTGGGTTACCATAAATCACTTACTGGTGGTGCCCTTGGCCTTCCTCAGTCTTTTTATTATACGAATTCGGCAGGAGAAGCCAACAGGCATTTGGGAACAGAGAGATACAGCAGTTGCTATACCATCTCCAGCATCACATGAAAGAAGAGCTAGTTTGGACTTTCCATCATCCATCAATTTACTGAACACCCACCCTGTAAGGACTGTGTTAGATACTGTAAGGAATAAAAGATAAACAAAGTTAATGATGTGCAAAGATGTAAATGGTGGACCAATTATTTATTTTCCCTTTAGGTTCCATGTATGTCTGTGGAGTTAGTTTTTGCTTTTGGCCTCATTTATTTATCTCAAATGTTAACAGAGTACTAAGATAGGATTCAGAAACAACTGGGCCAGTAAATCACTTTCCTCATTCTTTGGTGTTCTTACTAGCAAAATGGAGCAAGAAAACTTCCTCTCATCCCTCCTACACACAGATTTAATTATAATATAATCAAGGTAGCAATTGGATTAATAAAGTCCCTTCCAGTTCCAATAGCCCTAGATGCCATCATTTGAGCCACTGCCGTAGCCTGAAGCCAGCTATCTGTAGTTTCAGTTCCATGATTCAATAAATTCCATTGATGATATACATCTGAGTTGGGTTTTCTAATTGTGTGTGAGTCAGGATCCTGGCAGGACACAAAAGGCACGCTTGAACAAGGTTATTGGGGAGGATTTATGAAGGACCATTTACACTGGTGTGCCTGGGGTTAAGGGAAACCAAGAAGAGCCATCAATAGCCGAGAATCTTCTCATCCCTAGGCCTGAAACAACAAGGGTAGGGGCTGGTTTCCCAGAATCCAGAATTTAGGAAGAGCTGCAGCTGTAGCTGCTGGAGACGGCTGCCTGACAGGAGCTGTGGCCTTCATGAGGGAAGCAGCCTGGCCTGGAAGGAACCCAAGGAATAAATACTCTGGCCTCTCTTTCCTCCCATTCCTTGCTCTCCTGTTGGTGGTTCCCACTGGCCAAACTCAAGTGGAACCCAGAGGGAGGGGAGGCCATTTGATGCAGTCTATTGAAGTCAGCTTCACAAGACTGTTACCATTCCTAAAAAGGGCAATAACTCTTTAATAACATTGAAATTCCCAATTGTGTTCAAATTTCTCCAATTGTTTCATCTATTTTTTTTTTTACAGTGTATTCAGTAGGGATCCAAGGAATTGTATTGAGTGATTTGAATCTTTAAAAAAAAATTTTATTGTGGTAAAATATATATAACATAAATTTGCTATTTTTAAGTGTACAATTCACTGGCATTAATTACATTTACAGTGTTACACAACCATCGTTACTACTTGTTTCCAAAACTTTGACATCTGCGTGATTTGAATCTTTAATATCTTTTAATCTATTGGTTTTCCTTTTCCTTCTCTCTTGTTTTTCCTTGTAATTTGTTTGTTGAAGAAACTCAGGTCATTTCTACCATATAGTTTCCCACAATCCAGATTTTGCTATTTCCATAACTGTGGTGATGTTTAACATGTTTCTCTGTCCTCTGAATTTCCTGTAAATTGGTTTTGGGATCTAGAGATTTAATTAGATACTGGGTAATTTTTTTTTTTTTTGGTAAGACTACTTCATATGGGGTGTCATGAACTTCCATCAGGAGGTATATAATGTCTGGTTGTTTTTCTTCTTTTGATGTTAGCAGCCATTTATGATCATTGTCTAGGTCCTTTATTTTTCAGGGGTGCAAAATAGTGATATTCGAATTCTATTATTACTGTTTAATAGCTGTACTACTTCTCTAGATGAAAGAGTTGTATAGTGCTCCATTATATGGATGTTCATTCAGTCTGTATAAATAGAATATTTCGTAAGTCGGAAGACCCTATTTAGCAAACAAATCTTATTGTGATTGGTTTTCAAACATAAGAGAGGACTTTTTGGTTGCTATTGTTGTTTTAGTCTCAGAAAGGATCTAGGGTATGCTCAAGACTAAATTAGCATTTGCAGAAAAGTTAAAAACTATTTCTACATGATAACATAAGTAAAATTTTCAGCCTCCCAAATAATTTCTGTTACTCAAATGAGTCTTTTGTTAGAAGGTATCCTGGAGCCATTAATCTGGAAAGAAAGCGATTTTAGTATGCACAAGCAATTTCAGTCTCCTTTTCTTCCGGTGAAGCATGCCGAGAGCTGGGGAGAACCTCCTTTCCACGTGTCCCCTGGTTCTTTTTTTATGCCTGGATCTAAAATTAAGCCCAGTGCTTTTCTTGGCGATAGCACATGCCAGCATGGCAGATCAGAACATTTTCTTTAGAGCAATGTTGAGATGCATCTGTTCAGGTGAATCAGTCCCCAACTCCATTGACTCTTTTCACAGGGATAAGAAACTCAAAAGTCAGCATATGGGTTGAACCACGTGATCCCTTTGCCACTAAAAATATTAGCTAGCTTTTCTTTTTACCTCCTACCATAACATCTGTTACCTCACACCTGGCATCTTGTGAAACTTCTGCCTGCTGGAAATTATAGCAGGGGAAAGGTCTTGTGACAAAACTTCTTAAAATTTTGAAATTTGGGGGCCAGCCCAGTGGCCAAGTGGTTAGGTTCATGCACTTTGCTTCAGTGGCCCGGGGTTTGCTGGTTCAGATCCCGGGTGCGGACCCACTCACTGCTCATCAAAGCCATGCTGTGGTGGCATCCCACATAGAAGAACTAGAGTGACCTACAACTAAGATATACAACTATGTACTGGGGCTTTGGGGAGAAAAAGAAAAGGAAGATTGGCAACAGATGTTAGCTCAGGGCCAATCTTCCTCACCAAAAATAAATAAATAAATAAAAATTGAAATTTGGAGGAATTATTTCTCTTTCTCTCTCTCTCCAAAGAGAGTAAACTAGCAAGTCACAAGCATATTTGACCGTATAATATAATTTTATGTCAGAAAAAACCCTCTGCTGTTTTCACATTAAAAGTGAAAGAAAGCAAAGCTCCACTAAATTAGCATGGTTTATGGGGACATGACTTCAAAACTCACCTTCCAAATCAAAAAGTGAATGTGGGTAGCATGCTATATATGTTTATGGATGCAATTTATTTTTTTAGTTATCTATTGCTGTGAAACAAATTATTCCAAAACCTGGTGACTAAAGACAACACATATTTCTTATCTCCCAGTTTCTGTGGGTCAGGAATTCAGGAGCGGCTTTGCTGGGGGCCCTCAGGCTCAGGGCTGCCATTAAGTTGTAGACAGGAGCTGTATGGTCATCTCAAGGCTTGACTCAGGGAGGAGCCACCTTCAAGTTCCCTCATGTGGCTGTTGGCAGGCCTCAGAAAATTCCTTTCCAAGTTCAGTCACGCAGAGCTCTCCACAGGGCTGCCTGGAGACATCGAAGCTGGCTTCTCCGAGAGCAAGGATTCCAAAGACAGTGAGAGACGGCACCCCAGATAGAAACCCCAGAAGTGACATCCCATCACATCTGTCATATTCTGTTCATTAGAAAAGAGACAATACATTCAGCTCTCCCAAAAGGAGAGGGGATTACACAAGGCCATGGACACCAGGAAGCAGGGATCATTGGGGGCCATCTTAGAGTCTGCTTACTACAGTTTCTTTATTTTAGATATCAATTTTTAAAACGGAAAATACATTCTCATAGCTAGAAATTCAAAATGTACAAGAGGGCATGTAGTGAGTCTCCCTTGCACGCCTGTCACCCAGTCCTCTCCTTCAGCAAACTCTCCTCAGTTTCTTGCGTATCTTTTCAGAGGCTTCCTGTTAATGTGAAGTTGAAAAAAGTCATACTCCACAGAGTACGAGCAGAAAGCCACTTTAATCCTCTCCCTTCCATCTTGCCAATTCAAACCTGCTTTGCAGAGATAAGGCTGCCCCAGCGCTTGGGTGAAACATGAGGTGGGTACTATGACTTTTCACCTCCCTCTCAGATAATGAGTCCTCCAGTTATTTTTAGTCATAACATAGTTTCACATCAGAAAGAAAACGCCAAGTAAGAGTCAGACACTGAATTTTAAGGTTAAAGCTTCTGCCCTTCCCTCGCGTGGGCCTCCTCCAGCCTGGAAGCCTGTAACTAGATGAGGTGGAGCCTGTGGTCAGCTTCTTTATTTCTCTGCTTTGTACTTTTCCACTTTCTCTTCATCCTTCTTCTCACTCCACTGGGTTACCTTTGTCTCTTTCTGGTTTGAGGGATGGGAAATGAGTGAAAAGAGGTAAGGAGCTCTTTTTTTCAGTATCGTCTCTTTTGGCTTCATAGATTTCCTCATGGAAACATCCGACTGTAGCTTTTTTGATGTTTGCAAATTCTCTCCTTCGTTTAGCATTTGTTTCCAAGGATACGCCTCCAGCCACTTTGTGCTGAGGTCACTTCAGGAAGCCTCTTGGGCAAGGCCTTCTCCAAGACAGCTCTGGGAGGGCTGGCTTTCTCTTCCTCTCAGCCTTCGTCTGGTCCCGGGAAAACCTCACACACCCTTCAGAGTATCCTAGACGCTTTGGAAAACTGATTAAGACTGTTCACACTTTTCGAGGGTTTTAATTTCTCATACTATCTCGCTCAGTTCCCTTAGGAATTATTATATCTTTGGAACAAGGCATGTCCAACGTATCACCCCAGGAATTAGAATCCAAAATAGGGAATGTATCTGCTGGTTGATCAAATGCTTGTCTTGTATGGGCAGGAAGTGAAAGACTTTTCTTGTAGAACATACTTTCCACATGCTGAGATACCTTTGAAGACAAAATAATGAGAGTAATTAAGTCTATGAATACTTTCAATAACCTAAGGTACTCTGCTTAGCCACAGGTGGCAGGGATGCTGAGGTAATTTCAGGCACAAGGCATCTGTATAGTTGCGGGGGACTTGATTCTAGGATGTGGTGGGCTTTTTCTTTCTCTCAGAATCATACAGTGTTTACTGCTGAAAAACTAGATATCGAAGTGGTAGTAACTTTCCAAATGCCATTCCTGGTTCTGCCGTGTTTCATCTGTACACACAATTATTTCCCTCTGAGTTCACTCCACCTCTCCTTTTTCCAACGGTCCCACAGGAGGTCCCACAATAGGTCCCACAGAGACCCACTCCACCTCCACCAACACCCAGCCGGTCCTTCTCCTGGTGGAGGCTGGGATTCTTTAGGCAGCCTCAGCACACAGCTGGCTTTCAGTTGGCTTAGTGCTGAGACATAAACGAGGCTGCTCTGGGACTTGGTGTCTCTGTACTAACCACTGGCCTTCTCTACAAACCTGACCCTAAATGGGACCTGGAAGATTTCTGTGTTGTTCACATCGTCACAGCTCAAACTCAGCTTCCTTCATTCTGGGACTATCTGAGTTCTCAAATTCCAATAACTTCTTCTTCTCCTGCCCCTTTCCTTGTGTGCCAAGTTCTGGCCCAACTTCTAAGTTTCTGCTCTGGAGGGTGGGTTTCCTTCTTCTTGGCAGGGCTCACTAACGTGGAATTTTGCCCTTGATTCCCATTTTGGAGATTGAGACTTTCTTATCTTACCTACTGATGAACTCCTGCCTGCTCACCTCTGGGTCTGTCAGATGTTACTCAGAACCTTCCAATTCTACTGCTTCAACTGGATCCCCAGAAATTCCCAACCCCAAGGACTCTAGAACTGTTCTGTTTGGTTAAACATCTGGCATCAGCTGGACTGTCCCCCAAGCTTCAGTGGGAGTCCTGTCCTGTTACGCTGGTGAATGGAGCCTGGGATGTATCAACCCAATTGGGTTTCCTGGAGGCACTTACACATATCAGATGGGAGCACAGGAAATGACGACAGCCTCGTGAAAATGGTATAGAGGGTAACACTAGCAGCAAGTGAGGAGGAATTAAGAATGACTTGGAGTTGGCCGCATTATAAGGATAAAAAAAAAAAAAGAAAGAAAAAAAGCCAACGTGATAAATCAAAGCCAAAGAAAATTTGATTTGAGAAAAATCCATGCAGTGTCATTGTAAGTATGCCAAGATATATAGTATCCTCACTAAAAAAAATAAGTTATTTAAAAGTGAATGCCATATTGTACCAATGCTAATTTCTTAGTTTTGACAAATGTACCACGTTATGTAAGCTGTTAACATTAGGAAAAGCTGAATGAATTCTCTGTACTACCTTTGCAACTTTTCTGTATCTAAAATTATTCCAGAACAAGAAGCTGGAAAAAAGAATACCAATGGAAACATTAAAGTATTTGCACTAGAAATAACTTCTTTACCCCTAAACATTTTGGGCAAATAAAAATGGTTTTTGAAGGACATTTTGAAATCTCAACTGCTGGCATAAACATGTATTATAAATGGATAGAGTCCTGTATAAATTCTGGGAAGAATTAGTTGATGCTTTTTAGTTTCACTTTCAGGAAACTCATTCTTTCAACAGATAATTACTGCCTATTATGGGTCTATGGGCATTTCTAAGGATACATCAGTCAACAAAACAGATAAAGATCTCTGCTCTCAGGGAGCTTACATTCTAGTAGGGGCAAGGGGAAATCAACAATAGACATGAATATAAGGAATAAGTAAACTACATGGTATGATTGAAGGTGGTAGGTGCTATGGGGAAAAAGAGAAGAGCAGAAACAGGGATAGCAATAGGATGTATGGGGGGCTGGGCTGCATGCTATTTTAAATAAAGTGAACCCTGTGAGCCTCATTGAGAAGGTAGAGTAGAGCAAAGATGAAAGAGATGAGGGAGCAAAGCAGGATGCTGTCAGGGGCAAGAGCATCCCAAGCAGAAGGAATGGCCTAAGGTGGAGCAAGCCTTGATGTTCAAGTAGCATCCAGGGGCAAGTGGGCAAAAGCAGGAATCGAAGGGGAGAGAAGTGGAAGATGAGGTGAAGAAGGTAAGGGTGGTGGTGGGTGAGAAGGAGTGCAAATAATATAGGACTTTGACTTTTACTCTGAAGGCAACAGGCGGCTCTTGCAGACTTTTGAGCAGAAGAGTGACATGATCTGTCTTATGTATTCAAAGGATCCTTCTTTACTGCTTTGTGAATAGGCTCTGGCTAGGCAAGGGCAGAGCAAGGAGAAGAGTTAGAAGGCTGATGCAGTAATCTAATAAGAGATGATGGTGCCTTAGTCCAGAATGAAGCAGTGGAGGTGATGAGAAGTGGTGTGCTGGAGCTGGCTCATTCCTGCCCTTGAGCACCAGTTGTTAAATTTTTAGGAAATCTGCAAGCCAGTTGTTAAACATGCCAATACTAAAAATTAAATTATATGAACTTACAGTTAAATACGCTATATTGAAAACTAAAGTAATAAATAACCAAACTTATCACTTATTGTTTCTACCTAATTGCTTTACTATTATTATTATCTCTGCTGTTGAGGTTATTTACACCTGTTCTAGCCATACGGTGAAAATACTCTCAAACGGGGTGCTGCTGGGCATGTCTTCCCACTTCTGTCTTCAGTGACGTTACATTAGGAGTTTGTCAGCCACGCTGGGAGTATTTACACTACAGAAATGGACAAATGCTACAAATCAGGGTTCATTTTTGTTTTTAAAGAGAGCTGGTTGTTAAACATTTACCAGCACACTTGTTTCTTCCCAACTACACCTAGGAATGAGTACCACTGCCCCATCGAATGTTTTCAGGTTCCTCCACTTCTATCATGTCCCCACCCACAGAGGAGAAACGCTTAATAAAGAGGTTAAATAGGTATTATTCATATTACGACAAGATAAAAGTAACACATTTCTCTTAAGTTTAAGACCACTAATGTATATTTAGTTATGAAAAATCTCCTACCTGCGACTGGATCTTCAGTGCTGGCCCGAGCTTTAATCCCATGGTGCTTCGAAGATGCTCCTCTGTGAGTAATGGCAAAGTTTCTCCATCAATTGCATGATCTTTAAATACCTTATTAAATACAAAAGGTGTTAACTTTGTCTAAATACCTTTTAAAAAAAATTCTAGTTTTCTACATAGATATTTTAGTTTTGGAGGAAACATTAAGACTGCTTGAGGATGACGTACAAATTGATAAAATTTCTTATTTTCAGTTATTCTCTCTTCTGTGCTCCAGCAGCACATTGTTTGTGTTCTTTAACAACCTTTGGAGTGGTAATTCTCTGTTTATAGAACCAAGTTTCAACCTGGAATAGTTATTATTTGAGGTCAGGGCCATGCCTTCTTTGCCAGTGTACGCAAACACAGTGGCTGGCACATAGCAGAAGACATGCAATAAACATTGCTGGACAAATCGGCGAGTGGGCCAATAGTCTGAGTAAAGGGATGTGGGTAAAAACCATTGCAAACAAATTTCATCTCTCACATTTCTAGGTGCTGTGCCCTCCGTCCACTGCCTTACACGAACGGTAAAGGGAGGAGAGGAAATGCAGGTGAGAGCTGTCATGCTGGAACTTTCCAGCAGGGCCTGTTTGCTCTGACTGTGCAGTGGATGTGAGCATGCCTTCCTTTCTTCCAGAAACTAGGAAACCTGCTGGTGGACAAAGGTTCCAGGCTGGTAGAGATGGGCAGAAAAGACTGGGCAGATTGATAGTGCCGTCAGTTCATGATCTCCAACTTCAACCTGCCTGGCTATCTTATAGTTACTGATGAGCTTTCTCTTCTTTCTGTTTCAAGCTTTATTCCCACTCCTCAGACTTCAGACCCCCCCAGAATCCTCTCTCATTTTCAGCAGATCATATAACTTCCTAATTTAAAAAAAAAGAAACCAGTAGATAAGAACTTCCTCTAATTCTGCCCAACAAACCTAAAAATCGACATTTTCTCCCTCTGTCCTGATATGGTGGAAGAGAGGCCCCTCATTGTTTAAAAGCAATCTCTCCACGTAGGCTGTGGGTCCTCCCTTCTCCTACCTTGGGGCTCCACTCGATAGGTGATCGCTTTTCTTGTTGTCGGTCTCTCCTCCTCGGCTGGCTCTTTCCCATTGGCATTTAAGCAAGCTTCCACCATCATTAAATAAGCAATAATAATGAAAATACACACATGCTTCCTCACTCCGTCTCTAGATACTGCCCCATGTCTCTCATGCCCTTCCCAGCCCTGTTTCTCATGCTCCCTGTTTCCACGTTCTTACTTTGCAGTCAGTCCTGTCTCAAGGAGTCTGACTTCCACACTTCCCAGTCCATTAAACCTGCTCTCCTCTGGGTCCCTGGTCTCCATTGTTACCAAACACATGGATATTTTTTGGTTCTCATATTTCTTATGCTCCTGATTGCATTTGACATTGTTGACTGCTCCTTCATGAAAAATGCTCTCCCCTTACCCACATGAGGCTTCTCCCTCCTAGGTACCCTCTGCCCTCTCTTTGGCAGTCACCTTTGTGACTACTGTTTCTTTGTTCATCCTTATGTGTTAGGATTCCTTAGGCTTCTGACCCAGGTTCTCTTTGATCTTCCCTATTCATCTCAGTCTCTCTCTTGGCTTCAGTAGGTGTCTCTAGATACTGAAGCCTCCTTAATGTACACCTTTAACTTAGAAGCTGAATCATGCCAATTCTGTCGCTTAGATAGTGTTCTTATCTGCCCATCCCACTGCCCCTACCCTGGATCAAACTCCATTATTGCTCATCTGAGGAGGCTTCCCCATTAGTCTTGTCCCCTTTAACTTATCTTCACAGAAGCAACCTAAGCGACCTATCTGAATTATAAAGCTAATCATGCCACTCCTGCTTAAAGCCTTCACTGCCTCCAGGATAAAGTCATAATCCTTCACTGGATCTTCAAGGCCCCTTCTCCCACTCCAGTCTCCTGTCTTGCCATCCTCATCTCTCCCACCTTGGCCCTGGCCCTCTGGCCACTGGGAACTACTCTCATAATCCCAACTGTGCTAAATTCTCTCTGGCTCCTGGTCCTTGCTTAGAAATTGCTCCTTTGCCTCCGTCTCACCTAACATCCCCTCAGCTGGTAAACTCCTCTCTGTCTGATCTCACTTTTGATGGCTCTTCCTTCAGGAAGCCATGAGGCCCTCCTCTGTGTTCCCGCCATTTCCGAACTTGCCCTTTCAGCACGGTCACACTGATTTGGAATCCTTTCCTGGTGTCCTTCTTCTGGACTATAAACTTCATGAGAAGAAGAACCATATTTGTCTTGTTTCCACTCTGTGTTCCGTGCCTTGGAAGGTATTCCTCAGAACTGGCTGAAAGATAGAATCTTCTTGGGAAGTTTCTGTACCAGGAACTTCGTGTTCTAATAGATCCTAGTTGTTCACAAACTACATTTGTTAAGTATTTCTTTTCCTATTTTAATTAAGTAAATCATAGAGTGGCTAATATCAAGTAAATCATAGAGTGGCTAATATCAATTAACTTACTTTGGGCTAAAGCAAAAAAAGTTGACTTTGGGTTAGGCTTATAGCCTTGGGGAACTGTATGATTTAGCTTAGGTTTTTTGAAATATCAAGAATAACTTAAGGATCCCTTTTACCACCTTTGAGAACTCCTAGGGGCCCAGATACTGAAAGCATATGGCCCAATATCCTCAGTGTAGAGTAATTACAATGGAAAGAGCTAGATTTGTGGTCACATACACATTTTTCAAGTATTCATTCTCTTAACTACCTTGCTGCTCAGTTTTACTCAGCTGCAAAATAGGGTTAATATCTTCTTTGTAGAATTATGGTATAAATTAAATTTAGAACATAGTCTAAACAATGTGCCTAGTACAGTGTCTGGCATATAGTCTGTGCCCAACAAAGAGTAGGCATTATTATTATGATCTTTCATAAATGAGAGAACTAATGTAGCAAAAGTGGAGTTGCCCAAGAAGCACAGCTTGCCAGTTGGAGAACTTGTAAAATAACATATAGTTTATGATTCTGATCCAGGATTTTGTCTGCTTAATTGCATTGCCATTCAGAAAGAGTAGTACTGATGAAAATAGTTAAGTATATTAGGGGTAGAAATTTTGCTTCATTTCTCTCTCCTTTGTAGAGATTCCACTGAGCAGTGAAGGGACCGTGAATGAGCATCCAAAGAAGGAGACATCACAGGGCTACATTTTCAGGCGGAGGTAGGTTGGCAGCCAGGGCCTGAAATGTGTGAGGGCCTAACACCCAGCCACGGTGGATGACCCTGGGCCTGAGACAAAGATGCAGAACATGCCACTGTCACTCAGAAGATGTCCCTCCCCATTCGTTCTCACAAGAGCAGTTTAGGTCAAGAGCACCAGATAAATGTGCACATATTTTTAGTAATTTCAGTTATTTTTAAAGTGAGAATATTTTATCTGCCGTGTTCTTTGAACTAGATATTTACTTAGAACAAGCAAAATGTGTTGCAGGGTCTCTTGGATGTCCCTAAACAGTTGAGCCACCAACCTTCTCTCTACATCTATTTAAAAGAGTTCATTTGCATGGGGCCTTTGGGTTTTAGTTGTGTTTCTTTTTTCCTAATTTCTTTTTCTACTTATAGGAGGCAGGTGGAGGGAGGTTGCTGAGTAGGCACTTAAGACAGAGGTGAGGAAGAAGAGGACTGGAGTGGGTGGGGGGAGACAGTGAGTGTAACCCTGACTAGTTGCGGGGGCTGTGAGTAAAAACCGACTGGAACATTTTACACAAGTGTCCTTGTGAGAGTTGTGCACAAGCTGTGCTGCTTCAGGTACAGGTACCCTGTACCCAGGCGTGTCCGGGGGTTCCACCATTTCTCCACAGAACACCGTCACCGAGCACGGCGGGGTCGTGCCCAGCAAAGCAGTGGCATTCTGGAAGTTGATCTCACCAGCAGTCACTGGGAGGGAACAGACTTTAACAAGGAAACAAGAGCAGGACTTGATCGTAAACATATTTGAGGAACACCTAGAAATAATTGTACCCCTTCTTGTGGCGGGGACGGGAGCACTGACATCCTGTTGGTGAGAGATAATGAGTCAGCAAAGTTTGGGGTATTCGTGTTTATGCGACTTCTGTGTACCCACAAGAGGATGTTTGGGATGATAAAGTATGAAATGCATGTAATATTATTTACTACAAGAGTGGTTATTATAAACTGCACTGTTATGACTCTGGATCACTGACTGATTAGGAATAATGACAGTGGAAACAGATTCTATCCATCAGAAGTCAGCACTTACACGTTCATTATACACAGGGTTGCTTGTTTCTGGCTGTTATCAGAATTTGGTAACTTCATTGTACTGGTAGTTGATGGGTATTTGAAAACGGCGTGGATAAATTTTAAAAGCGATTGACCCACGGTTAATGACTAATAATATAGTTATACTTATTGAATAGGAGAGAATAGGACAAAAATTTTTATCAGGTATGCAAAAAGACAAAGAGGGTGACTTGAGGAATACAACTTGCTTCAAAAGTAAATTGAGGTCCTGCTCTCTCTAAGAGCCTCTGATATAATCATGAAATTAGCATTTATTGCATACTTGCAAGGTGTCAGGCACTCTTTATAGCTTACAGCAATCCTCTGAGAATGTATTATACTGTTATCCCCATTTTACAGACGATAAAACTGAGGCACAGAGAAGGGAGGCAACGTGTTCTAGGTCACATGTCCAGAAAGTAGAAAAGCTCGAATTTGAACTTGTACTTTCTGGTTTCATAAGCCATCCTCTTAATTACTACCCTCTATAGAATTTTTTCATAAGTCCCATAAACAGAACAAAAAAAGAAAGAAAAAAAGAATTGACAGCATTACACCAAAGGAAAATATTATTACAAAATCAAGATTTGAAAACATCAGTTAATTGTGATGTTGTTAAATCGTAATGCCCTCTCCTTGCTTTCTTTTCCTTTAATTTATAAGCCTAAGATAATGACACCAGAGTTAACAGGCACGGTCTTGCTTGGAACTGTGTTATTAACTCACTTGAGAAAGTAAACTATACACATGAAAATGTAACGTTGACATAAATTTCAAAAAGTTGCCAAACCATGACTTTTGTTACCAGTTTTCCCATACAAGTAAAACTAGTCTTCTTCCCAACTGTCCTGACAGTTCATTATAATTTAAAAAATAGTATTTATCTACCAGATTGAATTATAGGTGTGTATGCTTTTTTGTACACTGCCCCAGCATATAGAATTTAAAAATAGTTAATTTCTACTTTTCAGATCTATTACCTTCGTGTCCTTTAGAATAAAGTATATATTTCTGTTACCTATTATGAGTAGCCTAAAACTTCTAGTACAGAAGTATGTGCCCCAAAAATATTTATCATACAGACAAGTAGGAAATGTAGTAGACACTTCTCATTGTTTTCGGATGTTTGACCTCTGAATCTCCTAATTTGGGAAGAGCTTCCACCTCTGGGAGTCTTAACGGAAGAGAAACTAAACCCAACACTGCTTTCCCAGCCTCCACTGCAGCTGGGGTGGGGCACACGACCCAAGCTCCACCAATCAGAGGCTCCTTTCCTAGGGTAGTCAATTATGTAAAAAGGGGGAGGTTATCAGGAATCCTCTGTAAAGGCAAAATGCAAGTTTGAAAGAACTTATTATGAAGGAAATATACTTCAAAGTGTCTTACTTTTATGAAAATACTTAAATTTTAAGTCACCTGAGCATAGTCCGAGCAACCTGGAAGGCCACTAATGAAGTTGTGCACGTCATTCACGGTCCATTTCTGAATATCTTCATCCAAAGCCAGGTTCTCCCCAGTTGTAAGCAGTGAGTGTGTTCCTTTAAAATGGAAAGGAAATTATTTGGTGGTATAAAATTTCCAAGGAAATGGGGGAGACTAAGGCACAGTTTTCTGTATAGTTACGTTAATTTCCTGATGTTCTGTTACCATGGAGTAGTCTTTTTATATAGATCTATATGTAAACTCCTTAAAAGATATTGAGCTACTGAGAGATGTTTTCTGAAAAGCTTAGCTGTCTCCTTTCTTTTCTTCCTCTGAAGGATCTTTACTGACGGCATTAATGTAGATAAACAAGTCCCAGAACTGCTCCAGCTTCTCTCAGATTCCAACAGAAACGCCCTGTGGATTTCATTCTCCAGATTAACACTACCATGTTCCATGACGTTATGTAGTTTATCACGCTCTCTAGGTGATGCAAGAATTTAGTTACATTTTCATCAAAATGGCAAATTAACACTTCGTAAGGGAAGCGGTTGGTATGATGATTAGATTATATACACTCCCAAATCCCTGTGTTTTAAAATATTTTATCTAAAGAAGTTCAAGAAAACTATTCAGTGTGGTTTTTTTGGGGGGGCGGGTAGTGCATCAATACTTTTAGATTAGAAGGTATCATAACAGTAATGGGCACTGAAAGTTAATGCTTCCGTTTAATCGTCTATTTTTTTCTGCATTTAAATACAGAGGAAATAAAATTTATACTTTTAAGCAAGAAGCCCCTCTATTTTGGGTTGAAGAGATTAACAGTACATTAAATTAAAATTCTAATTAAAAATTCTGGTAGGTTTTCCCATCCTTCCTCATACTTACCTTCCTAGGCTTTGCTGAAAATTCTCTGTATAGCAATCTATAAATAGAGACAAGTTTCACTGACATGGGTGATTGGAACTAACGTATTAAAGTGACTTCAAGAAGAGGTAATTCTAAATAGGAGTAAGAAAAAGAAGTATAAAAAGAAACACAATGGATACAGTTCACTATGTCATAACGTAATGGACTTGATGAACTGTGGTTCATGAGGATCTCCCATTGGCCATTGGCCTTTGGACAGCTACCTGGCAGAGACGGCGGAGGAGCTGGAGGACGAGCCTCATTCTTTTCACCACAGGCTGCAGAAACTTGATCTGAAGGCTTCTCTTTGTCACTGTCCCAGGTCTTTGCTTCCAGGGAAGTGCCATGAGCTCCCCAGGGTTTTCTCTGGGTGAACTCCAGCTCTCCACAGGTGTTGGCAAGAGCTGTACTTGGCTTTTCATTGGTTTTGCTGGACTTCTGACTGTTGAGAACTTCAGTTTCTGGGTCTTTTGCGTACTCATCCTCTTCATAGGGAATCGCATGAGTCTGGCCTAGGGTTTTTTCTTCTGCTTGACCTTTGGAACTCTCAGTGTCACTGTCTAGAACTTTCTGATTCCCTGTACCTCTCCTGAGATGACGACGTTTCTGCCCCCAGCTCTCTAGAAAGCGTGGACCAGTTGTCACTAGCATGGGGTTTCCCTGAAGGTTTCTCAGGGTGCTTCTGTGAAAATGCAGGTCACTGGCAGGGAGCATGCTTCTGCCATGGTAGGTGGCTGGGCCAGCAGGGATACTGGACCCACAGAGGAATGGTATCCCCATGCCCCCTAGTCCCTTGGGATTAACTTTTTCTATTCTCCTTTGCTGGTAAATGGCATGCATTTCCATTTCCATCCTAAAAACAAAACAATATATTTTATACAACCCAAGAAAACCATTAGAAATATAATTTTAATGGCCCTCTGCCTTCCCTAAATGAGCACCTATGCTTTTCCTGTGAGTCCTCGCACTACTTACCTGAAGTCTGTTAGGTGGAAACACAAATCCCCCACAAAGCCACCGGGAAAGAGAGTTTGGAGTAAGATCTGAGGGGGGAGGGTTTGGTTGAGTCTCACAATGGACGTCCAAGGCCAGTCTTTAGAGCATTACCTCTAATAGACATGGCACATTTAGCCAGTGTGGGGATAGTGCAAGACAGGGTTGTTTCTGGCCAGAGATTAATCCTCAAAGAAACTAAAGTTCTGGGAAGAGGTTTATAAAACCCTGCAGTTTTAGTGGAACTCGAGAAACACAATAAGTCCAATGCAAGTCTCAACTATTACAAATTAACGCTAGTGGCAGGGGTGGGGGGAGGGGGAGGACTTGTTGGTGTTTTTGCTTACGTTAATTTGCTTATTGGTCATCATCTGGACCCGTTAAGGTTCAGCGGTGAGAAGATTGACTGATGCCTTCTCTCCACCCCCAGCCATACCCTAGTCATTATTGCTGAGCTTCACTACAGCCGAAGGCCACTGCTGGGCTGACACGGCACTGTCTGGGCTCTGAGGGTGTAGTCTGAAGGGGGTTGGCAAGCTTGGCTCCTATCTTTGGGCAGAACTGAAGTCATTTAAGACAGAAATGCCAATGTGAATTTCAGAGGAATCACAGCTAGGCATTTTAACTATGAGACATTGACACGGTATTAAGATCTGTGGACTTAGCTTCACTGTGGAATTTCTAACCTTGCTTCATCCTTAACCAAACTGTGCACATGTTTGTATATGTTTCTCTTTGTAATATTCCTGAAATACTTTTTGTAAGTAATCAGTGTGTGTGTGTGTATAAAATCAGTGTGTGTGTATATATATATATATACACACTCAAACATAACAATATATACAAATAGAACATTATGCAAATATAATGAATGCATGTATATATAAAGGAATATATATATTTTATATGTATATATAACAAATGAATAAACAAACAAATGAATGCATAGAAAATAGATAAAACAACATTGCTACGTTACCTGGCAATATGCTGCCTTTGAATCATCTCATTCCTTCTAGCGATTGCCTTTATGGATTCAGGTGGTAAAATGCCCCAACCTTAAAACAGAAAACCACCATCCCACCCCACAAACAAATTAACAACATCCATTTGAAAATAATGAAATAAAATATAATGATTTAAGACAGTATCTGCAAAAGACCACCAGCTGAGCGCAAGGTTGGAAACAGTATCAGATCATTGCCGTTGAGCATTTTAGAGCCACTTTGCTAATGACATGATGACAAGAATAATTTTTTTCTTTAAGTATGGGTCTCATGATTGGTGATGTTTTCCTGCCATACTTAAGAAGGAAAAAAGATGAAACGAACTATGATCTTTCCATCTGTTGCTTTTGAAATAAAACTCCACAGCTTTTTAATTTTTTTTGGTATGAGAGGAATTAATTGATGTTTTACAAAAAGTAACTCAGTGCTTCTTGATGCACTGAAATGTCTGGAAATAAATGCAATGACTTAAGTGGATAAAATATAAAGTTCTCTACGTGGACTTTTTGGTGTATCTGAGGTAAAGACTTTTTCCAAAACTATTTCAATGGAGTCGGGCTGCATTACATTCTTTGTTTATGTCAACCTTCCAAAAAGTCTTGAAATAATGGCAGCAGCATTGCCAGAATTCAAGGCTCTATCCTTGCCTGGTAACTTCATGCTTACATCGATCTTTTTTTTTTTGGACTCCTAATGCCCTTAGTGTCTACTGGTGCTCCTCAAACTATCTACGTTTCAGGACCATTTTCTTCTTTTTAAATTTCCAACCCATCCTGGATTGATACTTTTAAAAAATACAATAAAATGATTTTTTCAAAAACTGAAATGAGAACAAGGACAAATATAAGCATGATTTTTAAAAATTATTAGATTAACAGACATAAAATTGCCTTGTTAAATTGCTATTACAGTTTCTAAGCCCTTACTCTCTGTTTATGCATTTAATTGTACAAACCCCTCATGACCCACACAGGTCTGCAGACCACACTCTAAGAATAACAGACACACGAATTGTACTTAGTATACGTAGTTTTGTTCAAAGATAGTTTTGCTTGTTTTTAAAGATTGGCACCTGCGCTAACATCTGTTGCCAATCTTCTTTTTTTTGTTGCTTCTTCTCTCCAAAGCTCCCCTAGTACATGGTTGTATATTCTAGTTATAGGTCCTTCTGGTTGTGCTGTGTGGGACGCCACCTCAGCATGGCCTGATGAGCAGTGCCATGTCCGCGCCCAGGATCTGAACCCGAAAAACCCCGGGCCGTCCAAGCGGAGCGCACAAACTTAACCACTGGGCCACGGACAGACCCTCAATGATAGTTTTTCATATGTAAATCTGTTCTCCCCAGCAACAGGGTAAGTATCATGAAGTCTAGAATTGTTTCTTGTATTTGCTTTGTACCAAGTTAGTAGAGCTCATTAAACTCCTAATAATAATAACCTATCTTGCCATAAACCGTATTACATCTATCTTTTTAAATGAGATTCTTTGTCATTTGTAAAATTCAAAGGTTAGATGAGGTGACCTCTAAAAATCCTTCTAACTCTAATACTCTATATTTTTATAGTTCAATGGCTTCAACATATTCTCCTTTAGACAGCTGGCATGCATGAAACTGCCAACCCATGGCGTAACACCCAAAGATGCGGAGAAAGTCTGCATAAGAAGTCCAGTGTAGAGGATGCAATTCTAATTACCTGGATTTTAGGACTCTCTGAAACCTAGACTCATCAAACCTATTTCAAATTTTTTTCTCTTTCCCAAAGATAATATGCAACTTAGTGCTAGTCCAGTTGTAATAATCCACTCTTTACCTAATATCCCAATTTTTGAAATAGATCTCTGTCCTAGTTTCTATTTTGCTAACTTACATGGTAGCTCAGTTTCCATGGGACTGAGGCCCTACCTTGCCCTTGCTTACCCTCCTACAGGTCAGCCTTGCGGTGGGAGACCTCACCTATGTCCCTGGGACAAGGGGTCAACCTGCTTATTTGTATCGAAATATTGGCAGTTTCTGGATTCTTCATCACTAAGGAGGACTCAGAGTCAGCAATGCAACTATTTCACTGGTCTATTTATCTGTCGCCTATAACCTTAGGCTATAGATTTACTGGATTCTTGCTGCCAGATGGGGCTTCCATCCAGGATAGCTGTTGGACCTGTCTTCTGTGGTCCTTGGACCACTCCAGTGGCTGTGTCTAGTTTCAGACTTGGTCTTTGCTTAGATGCCCAGTCTCATTGCAGTGGATCCATGCACTGAGGTAGGGAACATGCTCAAATCCAGGTGGGCCAGTGTCTTCACTGGTCCTGGCACCAACCATATTTGTTTTTGTGTCAGAATTTTCACTCACATTGTTCCTATCTATTAAGAGTTGTTGGAATTGAGGAGCAGGGACAAACAGAAACTCATGAATATAGTTGTGGGGAGAAAAGATGCATCACCTTGATCTTCAATATCGTCAGGAAATTCTCACCTCCTATTCTCTCTTGAGCCCCCACCAGTCATGTTTTCACTGACACCACTGTACTGAAATTGCTCTTATTAAGATCAGCAGTGACCTCCACATAGCTAAATCTAATCATATATTCTGGGTCTTCGTCTTACTTTATCTACGAACGGCATACTTGACACAGTTGCTCACTCTCTCCTTAAGACACTTTCTTCCGTTGGCTCCCAGGCCTCCATAGTCTCCTGGGTTTCCTCCTACCTCACTGTTCTGTTGCTCCTTCTATTTCTCCCTTGCTTGTTCCTCTTCTTCTTCTGGACCCTGTTGTTATGTGCCAGGGATCATCCTTTTAACTTTTAGCTATTCTCACATTATAGATGACCTCATGTAGTCTCGTATATGCTGATGACTTCCAAAATTATATCTCCAGGCTGTCCTCAGAAGTCCGCCCTGAACCTCAGCTGCTTTTTTGACATCTCCCATTGATTGTCTACTAGGCATATCAAATGCAATCTGAGCAAAACTGAGCCTGTGATATCTCTCCCACCCCAAGGTCTCTCTTCCTCTCACAGTCTTCCTCAATTCAGTAAATAGTAACTCTACCTTCCTGATTTTTGAGGTCATCCATAACACCTCTCCTTTCACATCCCATATCTAAACCGTGAGAAAATTCTGTTGTTTCTACCTTCAAAATAATTACAGATTCCAACCAATTCTTAGGATTTCTACTGTCACCACCCAGGGCCAGCCCATCAAAATCTTTTGACTGTTCTAATAGCACATTAACTTTCATCAGTTTATACCCAGAACTTTGATCCTATCAAGTTTGTCCCCAACACAGCAGCCAGAGTGGTCCTGGTAAACATGTCAGACTATGTCACTCCTTTCTTGAAAGACCATGAAAGATTCCCCTCTTACTCAGAATAAAAGGCAAGACCTCACTACGACCTATCAGGAAATATATAAACAGCTCCAAGCCCCTTTAACTCTCAGATCTCATCTCCTCAAGACCTTATTAGTTCCTCATGTGTAAGATGAGACCGATAGCAACATTGCAGATTTTCATGTTATTCGTCAGTAAATTGATGATTGGAGGAGTTAAGCAACTGATCACACAGTGGTGGAACCATGATTTAAACCTAAGTAGCAACTGCAGAAACTACAAGGATAACCACCATGCGGTTCTGCCTCCAAAATCAACAGTGAATTTGAGCACAAGTTTAATGCAGCCATCCAGTTCACTGGGGCTCCGCAGAGGGGAGCCATCTATTGCTCTTACCTGAGTAGACACGATTGGACAGCAGGTTCGGCATATTTGTATTGGGTAGACCAGATGATCCAAATGGGGAAGGAACACAAAACTGTCTTGGGTCAGTGGGCGCTACAGTGGAAGGCAGTAAATCCCTAGGGAAAAAAGATACAAGGATAGATAAAATGAAGACGAAGTTATACAAAATTTCCGTTGCATAGGCAGTGAAATTTTTTTATTGCCATATGGGATTCTATCATCTCTTCCCCAAATGAAGTACCAAAGCCCTGCATTCCTTCTTGCAGGTCTCTAGTCTCTATTATTGGTTTAAGTAGAAAGATGGTAAGAAAGATTAGGAGGAAGGACCCTACTAAGGAAGGATCGACCCGGCTGACAATGCAACAGAGAAAGCAGGAAGGGAAAGCTTTAGAGATGTCTGGAAAAAAAGATCTAGTCAAATCAATACTGCTCTATGACTTTCCATGACCAGCATACCGTTCTGGCCACAACAGTCTTTTCTCATTGAATGGACATACTTTGGCTCAGTGTCTGACTACCTGGGTGGACAATCTATTTCTTTGCCAAACTTCAGTGATCTCTAGAAGTCCAACTTTATTGTTCACACTCCATGAACAAAATAAATAATGGATTTTACTTTCTCCTCAGAATGTCAAAATACTCTAAAGAAGGGAAGAAAGTGTGCAAAGTAAGTACTGATAATTTCACTTTTATTGAAGAGAAAAAACTGTTCTATTATAGGAAATCCAGAGACCCAATTGTTACGGACTAAATTGTGTTCCCCCCCCACCCCCAAATCCATATGTTGAAGTCCTAATTCCCAATGTGACAGTATTTGGAGATGGGGCCTTTAAGGAGCTAATTAAGGTTAAATGAGGTCGTAACAGTGGGGCCCTAATCCAATAAGACTAGTTTCCTTCTAAGCAGAGGAAGAGACCCCAGGAGTGCAGGCACACAGAGAAAAAGGCCTTGTGAAGACACAGGGAGAAGGCGGCCATCAGCAAGTCAAGGAGAAAAGTCTCACCAGAAACCAACCCTGCTGGCACCTTGATCTGGGACTTTCAGCCTTGAGAATCATGAGAAATAAATTTCTGTTGTTCAAACCCCGCAGTCTGTGGTATTTTGTTATGGCAGCCTGAGCAGACTCCACCAGTGTTTACACCCACACAAGGCTTGTCACACAGTAAGTGCTAGTTAGCTATTTGCTGAGTGACACATATGTCAAGCACTCCTCAAAGGGGAAGTGATGGGAAGCGTGTTGAAGGTACAGCCAGCAGAGTATCTTGACATGGGTTGCTGAACCACAGTTCCCTGAAATAACACTAGACAATAAAACAACACTGGATTAACATTGTTCAAAAACTTGATTATTCATTTACTTCTTTGACCAGAATATTAAATTGGAGAGAAATACCTATCCACAGTTGGAGGTTCAAATGGTGAGGGAACCAGTGGGATCCTCTGCTGCCCCAAGGCTGTCAATAAGGGGTTCACGGCCATCATTGGATTTATCATCAATATCTCTCGCCACTGATGGAGTTCTAAAAAGAACCCAATAGATACGTTAACAAATAAGTCTACTTTTTGTGAACTATTTGAATTCTTCTTGAACATAATGAACATCTTTTGTATTTTCCCAACACTTGTGAAAACTAGCTACACCAAGCTTTTGGTTACAAAAAACACCCCTCTTTGTAAGCACCAGATACAATTGTTGAACTCAGTATTTTATCAATGTGCTCTTGGAATCTGCTGCAGAGTTCACAGGTAATACCATACCACGCTGCAAGCAATAATAAAATTAAACCGGCTTTGCAAGATTCCAGAAATGCCAACTTCCTTTCTTATGCCTTATTTTGATTTTTATATATCCAGAGACACAGATGCATATTTACTCCCATATGTTCAATCTTCGGAAAAATACTCCTATCTAGCTGATAAGATTAAAACAGAAAAGAGAGGAGAAATCCTCTTAATGGCTAAAAATATATCTCATTAAAGTGGCTACAGGCTGACTGCATGAGGCTGTATCTAACTAGAGTAAGCGACCAAGTTATATGCAAAAGTACCCAAGCATAAGCATTCATAACTTTATCTTCAGAACCTGGTGATCAGAAAAAGGGACCATTGTTAAAGGGATAAAATTTTGCCTTACATTTTCTTGTTAATTATTAATATCCTTTGAATAATTTTAAATATTAAACAAGTACTAGTCAAATAGGTCATTTTAGCTTCTCCTTCATTCTCAATTGTCACTTTTTAAAAAAAATCTGAGCTACCTACAACTATGTTTGAAAACAAGAAAATGTTCTGCTTTTCAAAGTAATGATCTTTCTTTCTTGGGTGTATATTTGATTTAATTCTGAAAATAGTTAATACATTCATATGGTTCAAAAACTAAGAATATAATGGTATTTAAATAAGCAATTACTTCTTTAGCTTCTTTTCAGACCTAAACCTACTGATGAAATTGGAAATTCAAGTTCGTGGGTCACCTAACATTGGCTTTCACCATTCATATATATATATATATATATGAAAAAAACATATAAAATAAAAAATATATATATTTTTTTCCTTCTTGCCAAAGTCCCAGGGCATGGTTATATATCACAGTTGTAAGTCCTTCTAGTTCTCTATGTGAGCTGTCGCCACATCATGGCAACTGACAGACGGATGGTGTGTTCTGTGACGGGGACATGAACCTAGGCCATGGGGTTGAGAGAGAACTTTAACCTGTAGACCATCAGCGCTGGCTCCATATGTTTTTTTAAACTTTCTTTATGTGGATTTATTTTCATTGCATTTCTGCGAGGTCAGTGTAATTTCCTCTCTGACGGTGGTCTTACAGAGCCTAGTGACCAGTCAAGATTAGAATAAAAATATCTGCCAGGTGCCCGCCAGCCACAGTAAGAATGCCAATTAAGAACACAGACCAGGTACATGTCAGATACTGGCTTGCGACTCTGGTGAGGACACTGCTCCGTGGCTTGAAATCTCAGGTCCTCACCTGGTATTCAGCAGCTACCTTCCTCCTAGTCCATTACACAACAGAACAATGCGGGACACGACGTGGCCTTTCATTTCATGAACTTTGTGTCGTGAATTGAGAGTCTCTGGCAGAAGTTTGAACTTACCCGCGAATGAGGTAGAATCTCTGAAGCTGGAAAATAGAGTGCTCATCTTGCATTTTATGTGATGCCTGAGACAAATTAGGAGGAAGCAGAAAGAGGAAAGGGAGCGGTGCAGAATCTCTCCAGGGCAAGCACTGCCTAAAGGCTGACCACCCTACTTCCTCACACAGGTCACCTTAGGGAAATGCCATGGAGATTAGTCACCAAAAGAAGTAGAGACTTCAGGATTCCCCCAAAGCGGACCTGAGAGAGGGACTTGAGTGGAGGTAGTTTATTTGGGAGGTGATCTCAGGAAGCCCACATGAGGAAGTGAGAAGTGAGATCAGGAAGGGAAAAACCAATAAATGGTGAGTTTCCACTGTGGGCAACCCTGCTGGCACTCTCTGAGAAATCTTGTGGTAAACACCTCAGGATTGTCTCAATGTAAGACAAACAGTTGGCCATTACCCATTGATCTCTGTCAGCCACTGGTGGTGGGCACAATTCTCTCCTATGTTGGGTTATGCCTGATCTAGATCGAACAAGAGCCTATGGTGCGGGAGAAAGCCATCACTGAGAAGCAAAGAGGCACAGGTGCTTGAGATGGGAAATGGCCTCCATGGTTGAGGTGTACTCAGAAGGGGGCCAGAGGGATACGGGTAGGACAGCAACAGTGTCCAGTGCTGTTGAGGCCATGTAGTTACCTTCTAATGTCATCCCACTAGATGGTTGGCACAAATGCCTTTCTTCTGGACTACCAGGTTCGCCAGGCATAGGTACATTGCTACGCGGCTCTGTAGGGTCCATTGTCTGCAACAACACAGCAGGATTTTTTTCAACATTAGTCAGGCATTCAGTGAAAGAAATGGGGAACTGAAGGCTATCAGCCAACGGAGATGAAAAAATAAGGTGTTAGAAACGAGTCTCATCTAATTTAGTATTAGAGCCCTCTTTGGCACCATACTGTTCTGGATTCCATGGCGCTTGGGTCTGGCTTTCTTTTTGCAATGCAGGGGGGTTGAATGTAATCTACAAAATTTTGTTACACTTCTGATAATGGTAGTTTACTATTTTTTAATTAATCCACCAAATTGTTACCTAAAATTTAAACTATTCCCAAGTCTGGGGAAGTGTCCCTAAGTCATGGAGGTCCTGGGGAGGACAACAAATCGTTGATACCTGCCCCATCTGAATGTTGTAGCTCTGGGATCCACTTGGCTTCCCCAGTTTTTTTTCATATTCATACTTGTGAGCCAGTGCTTATTTATTTATCACTATCATATCTATTGGTGCTCAAATTTTCTTTTTAAAAACAGTCATTGCCTGGTGCTATAGACTGAATGTATCCCCCTCAAATTCCTGCATTGAAACCTGATCCCTAATATGATGGTGTTTGGAGGTGGGGTCTTTGGGAGGCAATTTAGGTCATGAGGGTGGAGCCCTCACAAATGGAATTAGTACCCTTAGAAAAGAGACCCCAGAGAGCTCCTTCAACCCTTCTGTCATGTGAGAACACAGTAAGAAGATGGCCATCTATGAACCAGGAAGCGGATTCTCACCAGACACTGAATCTGCTGGTGCCTTGATCTTGGACTTCCCAGCTTCCAGAATTGTGAGAAATAAATTTCTGTGTTTATAAGCAACCTAGACTATGGTGTTCTGTTATAGCAGCCTGAATGGACTAAGATACCTTTTTTAATGTTACTCCTGTTATCTTTCATATGTCCCCAATTTTATATATATATATATATATATATATATAATAATTATATATATATTTTAATAGACTTTATTTTTTAGAGCAGTTTTAGGTTCACAGCAAAATTGAGTACACAGTATGGAAAATTCCCATATACCTCTTCTCCACACATGCACAGCCTCCTCCACTATCAACATCCTGCACCAGAGTAGTACATTTGTTCTAATTTATTATAATTGATGAACCTACATTGACACATGACTGTCGTGCAAAGTCCACAGTTTATCTTAGGGTTCAGTCTTAGTGTTGTACATTCTGTGGGTTTTGACAAAGGTAAAATGATGTGAATTCACCATTATGGTATCATACAGAATAGTTTCACTGCCTTAAACTAGATTTTATATGTATATATTTTGTGAGTGTGTGTGCGTGCGAGGAAGATTGGCCCTGAGCTAACATCTGTTGCCAATCCTCCTCTTTTTGCTGGAGAAATACTGTTGCTGAGCTGACATCTGTGCCAGTCTTCCTCTACTTTGTGTGTGTGACACCACCACAGCATGGCTCGATGAGCAGCGTGTAGGTCTGTGGCCGGGATTCAAACATGCAAACCTTGGCCCTCCAAAGTACAGTGTGTGGACTTAACTATTACACCACTGGCCAGCCCCCCAAATTATATTTTAAAGCAAATACAATCAGACACTTTCAAGGAAATATTCTGGGGTTGACCAAATCTTTCACTTTATCAGCCAGGTAGATACTTGAAACTCCAAATCTGTGTTTCTACAGACTCACCATTTGGGGGTTACTGAGTCAGAGATCAACAGATGAGTCTTTAAATACTAACTTTCACATTTTCAGAGCGTCCTCTTCTATTTTAGAAACACGCAGACAAGTTATGCAGCAAGGTCACTTTGCTGTGGCAGATGAAATGCTCTTGGGTCAAAGTGTAGCCTGGGATATCTGTTTTAGACACAGAGGGTGCCTGGTAAGGCTGACACGGGAATGCCCTGGTGCTTAGGTTTGCATTCGGGCTGGGGCTGGATTTCTCTGCCCTAGAACTCTAATCCTGGATGCCCAGCGCTTTAGGAGGATGAAGACTGCTTAATCTCTGTCTTCAGACTCTTACCCTCAGCAAACCCCTCCAGGCAGCACACGGACGATTTAGCTAGTGCTAATTCTGTCTCAACTGATTAGGAAATAGTGGGAAGACGCGAGCTCCGTGAACTAAAGCCCTTGCCAAATCAGCAGATATTTACTGAGTCCTGCTCCTGCCAGGAACACCCACCTTGTGCACAGTAACCAGGTGCCCATTCCATTATATTTGTCTTTCGTTGGCTTTACCATGACTACTCATTAAAATCAGAACAATTTGAGTTTGGCCAACCCCAAATTTGAGCAATTTGTTGCATGTATAATGCATGAATTCTGGGATTTTAGTCATCAAGATAAATAAATTTTCAATAACTGCTGTATTTGGTAAGTTTTTACATTTGAAAGGTAGATGGGTAAAATTAAATGTTTCTATAATTCTGAGAAAAATAAATATAAATTCTTAAATTAAAACTAGAGGGAGGGGCCGGCCCCGTGGCCGAGTGGTTAAGTTCACGAGCTCTGCCTTGGCGGCCCAGGGTTTTGCTGGTTTGGATCCTGGGCGCGGACATGGCACTGCTCATCAGGCCATGTTGAGACGGTGTCCCACATGCCACAACTAGAAGGACCCG